TATTATTCTTTCATGAGGTTGTTAAGAATTAAGATGATTAAGTGGTACATTAACTACGCCCCAGCACAGTCAATGGCACCCCAATGCTCATTGTAAGGTGAACCATAGATATATGCTTTTGACTCCAATCCAATCTTGAGTCGCCATTCCCTACCACACATCAAGCGGTGCTTGGCGGAGAGGAGGTGCAATGCAACCACCTTTCTTAACGCGCCTTATAGGGCACCCCAGTGTAGAACAAGGGTAATTTAACTTGATGTTTGAAGTCATTTTGGAACCTTTTAGTTGGAGTGCCTGGTTTGATTAGACGGAAAATCTTTCTGCTTAAGCTAACCCAGTGAATGTTTTTTAATTAGATGCTTTTTTCACATAACTTGTTATCATTTATTAAGAGCAAAATGCTGCCTTTCTAGTTAGATTTTGATCCATGCTAACTGCCTACTACTGATTTTATGTCTAATTAATTTCAGTGTTGCCAAGACAATGACAAGTACGAAAGATAGTTTTGGAGCTCTGGAAGCAAACCAACCACCTAAAGATACAGAGGTAATTGAGTTAATGTCTAGTAGTACTGGTGAACACACTGTTTAGCAATGTATTGAGCAGTGAATAAATTCTTTTTTTAGTTTACTCTTAGTTCTACTTTTTGAAAGCTTATTATATAACTAAGTGATCACTTGTCATATGATTATACTTTTTCTAAGAACTCCTGCGATAATGAAAATTGACAAATTTTAGTGTATTCCATCTCGCAGAGCAACTACCACGAATACTTACAGCTTAAATCAAAATATGAGCACTACAACACTCACAGAGGGTATTCACATGCTAAACATCCAGCAATGTGAATATATATATATATAACACTGGACGGCCTGCATTTTATTTTCGATTTATAGTATAATATAAAGATTAACTGGCTTGTGTTAGACAACTTCTCGGTGAAGATATAGGAAACTGGGGATAGCAGAGCTTGAACGTTGAGCGGCAGTGACATTTCAGTGGGGCAAGTCAGGTCACTCAAGGTATCCTGATATCCGGTTGATGAGCTTGACATGTTATATTTTGATGTGGGTTGAGGTCATTAAATTTCTATTGAACTTATGTTTAACTGAAGATGATTCAAGACAAACCCAGAATTTTAAAGCTCCCTCGTTCTTGTTATTGTTCGTGTTATTGCTTCTTTTACTCCTTGAAAAAATAGATACTGCTATTGAGATTTAACATGACACAAACGATCTTAAATGACCTATATGTAGACAGACTGTATTAAACTAAGTTCTTTACCCTACTATTACGAAGCAGACCCAGTCCCAGCTTGATCGACTTTCTGAACTCCAAAGGAAGGTATACTATGCTCATCAAAATTTTAATTTCTCTTATATACATACTTGTGTACATATAGATGAAAGTTATTGTCAACCGTAAACTGTCTTTCATTTTTCACTTGCGAGGAAGAAATGTTAATGGAAACCAACGTTGTCTAAAGAGGAAGGTAAGAGCTTGCTCAACTTCAACTTCTACTAACCCTCATCATCAATTATTTGTACATCCTCATCGGTTATCAAACGTTTACTCTCCACTTTTAATTCTCCCCCATATGATTAGCTCTTATTAGTTAAGGTGAATGTTGGACAGTTGGAAGAAATTGATGTCAGACTTAAATCATGGGAAACTGGCGAACAAAGCTCACCTACAGCCATAAAACTGCAGTATGAGCCTTCTATCCATCCTTTACACGGCAATGGCACATTGCAGATGGGGTAATTTGTCTTTCATGTTATGCATCAAATAATGAATTTCTACTGATGACTGGGTTCTTAAATACCTTTTTTTTTTTTGTTTCAGTCGCAGTTCTGGTGGGGTTACACATGAGGGAACTGTGGCTACTTCACCCCAAGATGCGAATGGACTGATTCCAGTGGGGTGCTTTGGTTTGCAAGTAGTGTTGAAAAATCAACAATGTTTATGAAAGCAAATAATATAGAGAATAAGTATTGTCAACCTGACTGTTGTTACGAAAGGATGGTAATTGGCAGTTGCTGAAGAACTTCTGTAATAAATGGTATGTAAATGCAATTATATCATAATTAAAACAACCAATATGCTTCTTTCTTGTAGTCTACATAGTACCTATGTAATTCTGTTATCTTTGAATAACAGCTTTATAATAGAGTGGTATGTGAGTGTGTATTGAACCAATATGGATTTTGAGGGGAGTTTGATTGATATGATTTGCTCCTGCGGAGCTCTATTTTTCTTGTTTTACACTTTAAGACCAACCAAATTAATTAATCTAAGGATTTCTAAAATTCTGTAAACACAAATCTATTTCCGGGTGGCAGTCGCTACCATGGAGTGAGTGGAGTTGAGAACATGGATGCCTTATCAACTCTATTATTCCTTTATCATATCATAATTTACAATAATGCTATTGCCTCTGAGAGTGAGATTCCACCTTGATCATATTTACATGTTCTTTTGTAAGGTGTTGGTTATATATATATATTATATATATATATATATATTATATATATATATATATATAACTTTTATTATTATATTTGGTGTTTTTTTTGTAAATTAATTTTATCATCTGTGGTCGTGCCACCTGCGTGGCCACAGCAGCTTAGGCCACGATGAGCGCGCCACCCATCGATCTACACCACAAACAGCGTCAATCGATGAACTTCAATTACAAAGGATTTCCTGATTTATTTATTTATTGTGATTTAAAAAAGTGTGGAGTAATATGTTTCCACTTGAATTTGTTTGTTAGTATTAAGTGGTGATGGTGGCTAGGTATATCATGCGGTGCTTTGACGGAAATTGTGGTAAAGAATAATAATTGAGGGGTTCAGTGAAAATTGATAGAAACAAGTAAATGTGGTGTCAGTGTGATCACCACACCTCTCCTGTTCCCTTTAGTCGCATTCCCATACAAGGGGTTTTGATTGATGACGGTTCAGGGTGGGGTGGGCATCTTCCAAAGTTAAAGTAGCAGTGTAATTATTTCACGTGGCTCCCACGCAACCTGATCATTTTATACTTTTAAGGATAATATTTTAAAAAAAAATTATTACACATAAAATTTAAAAATTAACAAAAGAAATCTTTTAAATTTTTTTTATTTGTTATACTTTTATAATAAAATTAATAAAAATACTCTTATTCATCTATTAAATATCAACAGTTAACTACAATTATCAGAAGATAATTAAAGTCATCATATTCATATATAATCAGCTAAATCTAATTGGTGATGGAATTTTATAAATTTTTTGCTTGAATATATGCATTAAATTGTAAGGATAGCATTTGAGACAAATTGATAGGATGATGAACACTCTTTTGCGGGACCATCTTTTTGGCCCCTCGTAGCACTCTACAGTGGACACTTACACGTGTTATATTTAGCTTGCTCTCGGGAGTGATTGGTAGATTTTTCTGTTGACATATCCAGCAGTGGCCAATGGTGGATCCACTATCTGTTTTTCTAGGTCAAATAGAGTCGATAAAAATAAATAATGTTAGTAAAGAGTGTCCAAGGGGGGGCAACTAATGACAAAAAGCTACATACGAATATGAGTTGATGTGAGAAAGTTCAAGGAAATGCATATGCATATCTCCAATCTAATTTCTTATAAGATAAGATCGACCAAGGCCTAATCAACACAAATAATATTTTAGTTTTCATGTCTACATTCAATGCTTTGAGTTGATCAATCTCATCCCTATAGTTTCCACCTATTATGTTAACCATACTAATTTCAAATACTATTATTTTGGTCCCTTAGCTTAACAAACCGTTGTCAACTTAAAAATTAATCGTATTGAAATAATGAAAATACCCATTTAAAATATAATGAAAAGTACATTATACAAACAATACTGATGTAAACACAAACCATTTCCATAGAAGTTTAGTAAATAAACATACTTGCATAATGCATTTTCAGTGCTTTTTAGAAGGGTATTTTTATATTTTTAATATAATTTTCAGTCAATTAACGATACTTAACTGTATGTGTTGTGTCAAAGGAAAGGACCAAAACACTCGTGTTTCAAATGAAATTGTTGGGACGAAAATGAAATTCTCTCACTTTAATATGTTTTGCAACATCGATATCTGGAAGCATAGATGGATCAATAGATTGATGATAAACACAAATTAAAACAAGCAATTGCACAAGGAAAACGATTTTTAAAGTGGTTCAGACTCAATGCAAATCTTATGTCCATTGTTCTTGTATTGTTTTCTTTGTTTTTGCTGCGCATAAATGTGTGTGATTACGGATAACCAACAGTGAATGAATAATAAATGCAGTATAAAGCAAATGACAAAGAGATTTTTAAAGTAGTTCGGTGAGATGCTCTTGAGCGTACGTCTACTGTTTTTTGTATTTGCTGCAAGAGGTTAAAATTATAATCCTAGAAATGTTTTCTAACCCCTTCCTTATCGTTTAAGGGGATTTATATACAAAGTTTATATAAAGGAAAGAGCGAAAATAAATGGATTAAAATTAAATTGAAATGCAACTTCGATATTCTCACGATTGGGCGCTATGATTGGGCAAAGATTGCCATCGATCTGATTCTTCCCGAGATATCCGAGATTTGAAGTTATCTGTAAATTGATTGAACGACCGTAAGGATTGGTCGCAACTAGCTTGTGCTAGGTCAAGCTATAGCTCGACGAGCTTATGCTGGGTCGGACAATCGGTGGAGTCGAGCTTATTCTGGATCTGGCTATAACCTTGCGATACTCGAGCTTGGTGGAAAAATCACACACAACACTTGTGTAACTTCTTTTGTCTTCCACAATTTTTAGAGCCAATATCCTTTCTCATGAGCACTCTGTCTAGCTTCTAAAAGTATATCTGTATATGAGCGGCCATGTATGATTGATATTTCTTTACCTTTTTTCAATTTTTTTTTATCCTTTTTTCTTTTATTAAACTTGAAGCTAGACAATGCACCAGCCAAATGGATGTTCAATATAAACCAAATCAAGATAAGATCATTTATACATAAAATAAGTAGTCTACCTCTTGTAGTCAAATATAAAATGTGGGATACAAGGTATAGGGAAAGAAATACAATTACTTAGATTAACACTACGAGTACTCCCTAGATGAGAAGATACAGATTCTTCGCACCCACTTTATTCCATCCATATAATATATTTTGCTTCTGAGAAGTATTTCTTCTCTTCACGAACTCAGTACTTAACGCTGCACATAACAACCAAAAAAAAAAAAAAAAAAAAAATTAATAAAGGATTAAAATCCATAATGAGGCAATATATATATATATATTCACAATTGTGTGTAAAAATTTTGTTTACGTGCTGCAGTCAGTTGATGGGCTGATCTTGTAAGGGATGCTGACACCGCACTTGCCAGGAAGCCCAGCTGCAATACCGTAGTTGATGCCGGGGATGGCTGATACAGCGCTTTTAATGCACTTGCAGGCCGCCTGGGTGTCAGCTGTGGTCTTGGCCGCCGCTCGAAGTGCTTTGATCCCGGCGCAGCAAGCCCGGGGTAGAGCCCCGCCAGTTTTGACGTAGTTTATGCATGGCCCGAGTCTGGTTGTCACTTGACCACAAGTGATGGCAGCTTGGGCAATGGGCGCACCCACCACCATGCACAACAGCACCAAACCAGCCAGTCGAAGAGCCAGAGGGTTAGCCATGATAATTTGACTTGATTAAATTATAAGAGAGAGTTGGAAGTTTCTTTTGAAGATGAGTGTGAGAATTATCGTAATAGATTAAGGTGTTTATATAGAAAATATTCCTTATAGGATCCTATATGCGTCCGAGGAATTGGGGTCTAGTTAACATTGGATTAATTTAATGCTTACGTTGTCACAATTGAGCCACTTTAAATGCTCTCAATGAACGATGGAAATGTATTTAATGAGGCAAATTATCAGGTTTATAAGAGCATCTACTTTTGAAAGGATCCAAACCTTTTATAAATCTATAAAAATAAGAATTTAACAAACTTTTTATTGTTTAAATATAAATTAAAGAGTGAGTTTAGCTCTCAATATCTAGAAAGTTAATTTTTTTTCTTAATTCTAATTTTAATTAATATATTACAAGTTGCTATACATTTTATTTATTAATTCTCTCTCTTTCTTGAAAAAAAGTATTATCTCTTTTAAAATTTAAAGAGTCAATAGGATTTAAATAAAAAATTTATCCTTTATATTTAAAAATAAATAAAGTTACTTTTTTATTTATATGAATGAGCATCATTGGCATTGGAGATGCTCTAAGACGAATGATCAGCATGTTCATACGAAAATATATTTGTTGGAGCCAAAAGCAGATATTATCTTTAAATTTGTCCTTGATTTGAAACCATTAAAAGAAGAAAAAGCAGAANTATATATAAAATAAATTACATAATGCATTGCATAATTATGTACATGTTATTATGAACGTGTCATAATACAGTCATGCATTGTCTTGTAGCTTTATTTGAACTTTCTTCAGCTGACAAAATCTTAACGCATAACGTCTGTTGGCTTCAGTCCATATACCATAATTCCCAAACTGAGACAAGTTAAAAGAAAGAAAAGAAACACACACACACACACATATATATATCAATCCAAATGTTCAGTGGGACTTCGCACTTGTATATTTGCTTTTGAGTTTCATAAAAGCATCCTTCATCCAAATGTCTAACACTATATCATCAAGTTTACTAAAATACGTCACATTGTACCATTAAATTGTTCTGTTTCCTTGCTGAACCCTTTGGATACTTCATATTCGTGTGTCAAAGATTCTAGGTGAAAAAAACAAAAGTAAAGTGAATGAAAGAATCTGGTTCCATGAATCTTAGATTACATGCATTTGTGTAACTTGTTCACAGCAAGTCCTTACAACTGTACTGATTAATTTATAAACTAGCACATGCAAGAGGATCAACGAAAGCATCTTTTACTTTAAAGGGTTGAAAACTTATAAAACTAAACATTACGTGATTGTCATATTGTATTATCATACCATAAGTTTGCTTTTATACCTATTATAAGTACCTGAGCTCAACCTACATAAACCATCAAGCTGTTTAGTTTAAGGGAACCAATACTTATAAACTATGCTTTTATCTGGATCTGACCATTACATTTACGTAAACTTGCATGCTTTACTCAAAGTGCATCACAGTTGCTTATTTGAATGGGACTAAGGCTCATAAACCAAGCCTCGGCCTCACCTGGTGGTTTCTCATATCATACCATCGGATCGTAAACCCGTTTTGATAACAGTTATAAATGTTTGAGGTCAATCCACCAAACCAAGGCTTATAAACAAAGTCTAAAACTCAGTATAACCATTAGGTTTACAATAGCATATTCTTCATCCAAAATAGGTTGCATAGCTGCTAGGACCAATGCTTATAAACTATGCTAGAACTTGGTATGGCAATTAGGCTCACGATAGCGTATTTCACCTAAAATAGGTAGTACCATATCATCAATTCAACCTGAAAAGGCCCAAATTGTACCATCAGCCTTTTTTTTTTTTAAGCTTTACACAATTTTGTTTTCCTTCATATAAGTCTATTTAGTTTATAGGATTTATGAATTTATGATATAAGATGTTAACAATTAAATATAGATGTTTAATCTTGACGTGAGTGGATATCATTCTTCATGCAGTTTAATTAAAACTTTGGAGAGCTGAGCTGTAATGATTTATTTTAATATCATCACACTTCTTTACTATCGGATATCTAGCCATGATTTGTGGAAATTTTTCAAGTTATAATAAATCTTATACGAATTAATGTTGCACATATTGCTCAAGAATAGAGAAAGTAATTGTCAAGTTTAAATTATGTATAAACTTGAGTTTTGGATTTAATGGAGTATGAAGTATAACCAGCATTGTGTTGGATATGAAGTATGTTTACAACGTACATTCAACAAGTTGATGTTGTGTTTCGGATGATTGGAATATTGCTTATTTCTTTCATTGAGGTATGTTTAAGAATTAAGATGATTAGGTAGTACATTACTACGCCCCAGCACAGTCAATGGCACCCCAATGCTCATTTGTAAGTTGAACCATAATATATGCTTTTGACTCCAATCCAATCTTGAGTCGCCATTCCCTACCACACATCAAGCGGTGCCTGGCGGAGAGGAGGTGCAATGCAACGCACCTTTACTTAACGCGCCTCTTATGGGCACCCCAGTGTAGAACCAAGGTAAATTTAACTTGATGTTTGAAGTCATTTTGGAACCTTTTAGTTGGAGTGCCTGGTTTGATTAGACGTGAAAATCTTTTCTGCTAAGCTACCCAGTGTGAATTTTTATTATTAGATGCTTTTTTCACATAACTTGTTATCATTTTATTAAGACAAATGCGCCTTTCTAGTTAGATTTTGCATCATGCTAACTGCCTACTACTGATTTTATGTCTACATTATTTTCAGTGTTGCCAGACAATTGACAAGTACGAAAAGTTAGTTTTGGAGCTCTGGAAGCAACCAACCACCTAAGATACAGAGGTAATTGAGTTATGTCTAGTAGTACTGGTGAACACACTGTTTAGCAATGTATTGATGCAGTGAATAATTCTTTTTAGTTTACTCTTAGTTTCTACTTTTTGTAAAGCTTATTATAACTAAGTGATCACTATTTCATATGATTATACTTTTTCTAAGAATCTCCTGCGATAATGAAATTGACAAATTTTAGTGTATTCCATCTCGCAGAGCAACTACCACGATACTTACAGCTTAAATCAAAATATGAGCACCTACAACACTCACCAAGGTATTTCACTATGCTAAACATCCAGCAATTGTGAATATATATATATATAACACTTGGACGCCTGCATTTTATTTTCTGATTTATATATAATTATAAGACTTAACTGGCTTTGTGTAGACACTTCTCGGTGAAGATATAGGAAACTGGGGATAGCAGAGCTTGAACGGCTTGAGCGGCAGCTGGACATTTCATGGGGCAATCAGGTCACTCAAGGTACCCTGATATCCGTTGATGAGCTTGACATTTTATTTTATGTGGGTTGAGGTCATTAAATTTTCTATTGAACTTATGTTTAACTGAAGATGATTCAAGACAACAACCAGAATTTTAAAGCTCCCTCGTTCTTGCTTTTATTTGTTCGTGTTATTGCTTCTTTTACTCCTTGAAAAATAAGACTACATGCTATTTGAGATTTAACATGACACAAACGATCTTAAATGCCCTATATGTAGACAGACTGTATTAACTAAGTTCTTTACCCTACATCATCGAATGCAGACCCAGTCCCAGCTTGATCGACTTTCGACTCCAAGGAAGTTATACATATGCTCATCAAAATTTTATTTCTCTTATTACATACTTGTGTACATATAGATGAAAGTTATTGTCAACCGTAAACTGTCTTTCTTTTCACTTGCGCAGAAGAAATGTTAATGGAACCAACGTTGTCTTAAGAGGAAGGTAAGATGCTTGCTCAACTATTGTACAACTCTACCTTCAACTTCTACTAACCCATCACATCATATTTGTAATCCTCATCGGTATCAAACGTTTACTCTCCACTTTTAATTCTCCCCCATATGATTAGCTCTATTAGTTAAGTGAATGTTGGACAGTTGGAAGAAATTGATGTGCTTAAATCATGGGAAACTGGCGAACAAAGCTTCACCTACAGCCATAAACTGCTCATATGAGCCTTCTATCCATCCTTTACACGGCAATGGCACATTGCAGATGGGGTAATTTGTCTTTCATGTTTGCATCAATAATGAATTTCTACTGATGACTGGGTTCTTAAATACCTTTTTTTTTTTTTGTTCAGTCGCAGTTCTGGTGGGGTTACACATGAGGGAACTGTGGCTACTTCCCCCAAGATGCGAATGGACTGATTCAGTGGGTGCTTTGAGTTTGCAAGTAGTGTTGAAAAATCAACATGTTTATGAAAGCAAATAATAAAAGAATAAGTATCTGTCAACCTTGACTGTTGTTACGAAAGGATGGTAAGGCAGTTGCTGAAGAACCTTCTGTAATAAATGGTATGTAAATGCAATTATATTCATACTTAAAACAACCAATATGCTTCTTGTTCTTGTAGTCTACATTGTACCTTTAATTACTGTTATCTTTGAATACAGCTCTTTATAATAGAGTGGTATGTGATGTGTGTATTGAACACATATTGGATTTTGAGGGAGTTTGATTGATATGATTTGCTCCTGCGGAGCTCTATTTTTCTTGTTTTACACTTTAAAGACCCAACCAAATCTAATCTAATCTAATGGAATTTCTAAAATTCTGTAACACAAATCTATTTCCGGTGGCAGTCGCTACCATGGAGTTGAGTGGAGTTGAGAACATGGGATGCCTTATCAACTCTTATTATCTTTCATCATCATAATTTACAATAATGCTATGCCTCTGAGGTGAGATTCCACCTTGATCCATATTTACATGTTTCTTTTGTAAGGCTTGGTTTGGTTATATATATAATAATATATATAATATATATTATAATAATATATATTATATATAACTTTTATTATTATTATTTGTTGTGTTTTTTTTTGTAATTAATTTTTATCTCGTGGTCGTGCCACCTGCGTGGCACAGCAGCTTAGCCACGATGCGCGCCACCCATCGATCTACACCACAACAGCGTCAATCGATGAACTCTTACAAAGGATTTCCTGATTTATTATTTATTGTGATTAAAAAAGTGTGGAGTAATATGTTTCCACTGAATTTGTTTGTTAGTATTAAGTGGTGTGAGGTGGCTAGGTTATACTATGTCGGTGCTTTA